AAGAATGGTGTCTTATAGAATTTACAATTCTTTGTTGTTGTTAGTTGCAAAGTCATGTCCAACCCATCGCAACCCCATGGACAACATTCCTCCAGGACTTCCTGTCCTCTACCATCTTCTGGAGTCCATTTAAGCTCACGCCTACTGCTTCAGTGACTCCATCCAGCCACTTCATTCTCTGTCATCCCATTCTTCTATTGCCCTCAATCTTTCCCAGCATTAGGCTCTTCTCCAGTGAGTCCTTCCTTCTCATTAGGTGGACAAAGTACTGGAGTTTCAACTTCAGGATCTGGCCTTCTAAAGAGCAGTCAGGGTTGATCTCCTCTAGGACTGACCGGTTTGATGGTCTTGCAGTCCAGGGGACTCGCAGGAGTCTTCTCCAGCACCATAGTTCAAAGGCCTCAGTTCTTTTGCGCTCAGACTTTCTTATGGTCCAACTTTCACAGCCATACATTGCAACTGGGAAAACCATGGCCTTGATTATACATAGTTTTGTTGACAGGATGATGTCTCTGCTTTTTGGTAGGCTGTCTAGATTTGCCATAGCTTTTCTCCCCAGGAGCAAGCGTCTTTTAATTCAGGGCTTTTCAACCAGTGGTACGGGTACCACCTGTGGTACATTGGCACCTGGCAGGTGGTATGCGACCATCCTAGAAAAGTGATAGCAGGGGAGGGGAATGAGCTGAACCGGTGGCAGCACCGCACAAACCTGAGCGAGAGACGGCTGGAGCTGCAGGGCTGTCAGGGCTCAGCGAAAGCACTAGGATCAGCGCTTCTTCGGGACTGTCAGGGCTCAGTGGAAGCGCCAGGATCAGCGCCAGGCTCCAGCTGGAGCTCGGCGCTGATCCTGGCGCTTCTGCTGAGCCCACAAGAAGCACCGATCAGCTGGAATGTTGCAGCATCTCCAGGGTCTTGTGATTTACATTCAGATGCTTGGCAACTGATTCATATTTATGATGGTCACAGTGTCCCAGGATCATGTGAAGTGACCAAAACCTGCTGCAACCACCCAGCAGATGGGGGGAATAAAAATCAAACACCCCCCATCCCACCCCCGCTGCCAATCCTCAACAGAAATGCTCACAACAATGAAAACCTCGGACAGGAGGAAGAGTGTCGCTGGGTGGGCAGGCAGGTGTCTTGCTCGGCTGTGGCTTGGAGGGCACTTTTTTCAGTGCCATTGTAACTTCGAACAGTCACTAAGCGAACTGTTGTAAGTTGAGGACTACCTGTACTTTATCACTTTTTTCCCTTCTTTTTTTTTTTTTTGGTCATCAGGTTTTTGACACCTTGCTAGGCGACTGGTGGTACTCGGATATTGCCATATCCTAAAAGTGGCACAATGGGTGAAAGGGTTGAAAAGCCCTGTTTTAATTTATTGGCTGCAGTCCCCATCTGTGGTGATCTTGAAGCCCAGGAAGATAAAATCTGTCACTACCTCCATTTCTTCCCCATCTATTTGCCAGGAATTGAGAGGGCCGGATGCCATGATCTTGGTTTTCTTAATGTTGAGTTTCAAGCCAACTTTTGCACTTTCCTTCTTCACCCGCATCAAGAGGCTCTTTAGTTCCTTTTCACTTTCTGCCATTAGAGTGGTATCATCTGCATATCTTAGGTTGTTGATATTTCTCCTGGCAATCTTAATTCCAACTTTTGATTCATCTAGCCCTGCCTTTCTCATGATGTGCTCTGCATATAAGTTAAATAGGCAGGGCGACAGAATACAGCCTTGCCAGACTCCCAATTTTGAACCAATTAGTGGTTCCATGTCCAGTTCTCACTGTTGCTTCTTGACCTGCATATAGGTTTCTCAAGAGACAAATAAGATGGTCTGGTACTCCCATCTCTTTAAGAACTTGCCACAATTTGTTGTGATCCACACAATCAAAGGCTTTAGCATAGTCAATGAAGCAGAAGTAGATGTTTTTTCTGGAACTCCCTAGCTTTCTCGATAATCCAGCGTATATTGGCAATTGAATCTCTAGTTCCTCTGCCTCCTACAATTCTACCCTGATTTTAAACCAGAAAGAAAATGGAATGCCCATAGGCTCTATGTGAACATGGAATTTGGCTCACCCAAATTCATTTATTTTGCAAAATGAATAGGAAACTGACATATTGAAATGCAGAGTATTATCTCAAGCATCAAGTTTGTTTTTAGGAATGCCTGTGGTTTTTACCTTGGCCCTATAACCATTCTGAGAATGTAAATTGATGAAGGCTATAGCCTATCACAATCATGGGGAAAAGCGTTTTGCTCTTTTCCTCTTTAGAAAATTTCCCACATTATTCAAATACAGTACATTCCTGTACCTTCAGAATCACTATTAAGATATGGTAGTGAGGTGACTTTATAATAGAGAGGGAAGAATTGGATTTCCCCCCCATAAATCCAACTCATCTTAGGAGCTAAATCCAATTTCAGTGATTTTCCAGTCATGTCAATTCTACCAACTAGCCATAAAATAGGCTCTATGTGATCCAAAAGAATATATTGATCCTCTTCACAGGAGATAAAAGTGGTTTCAAGGAGGAGGATGAAAGGGAAAGAAATTTCCCTTTATGAAGTTCTTTGTTTATTCATTTTAGAATTCAACCTATAGTTTATGTATGAAAAGGCCAAAAAAATTAATTTGTAAAATAACATTATACAACTTTAAGACTTCATATGAAGAAAAATACTTTAAAAATTAAACACTTACACTTAACTGAAGATTCTAATGTCAACTTCATAAATCATGTTCCAAATAATTAATTTACTGTTATATTTAAGAAGCAATATTATTGGCAATTTCCCAAAGTAATGATAGCTCAGCAAATATATCTGAGAAATACTCCATAAAACCAGTGAGGTACATTTCATTGTAATTGGATACATTATTTTACATTGATTTGTTAATAAAAATTATTTAACGCACTGGTCTTCATATTATGCTTTATGTTCTCATTTTCTTTTACAGAAGCTGAAATCCTGTGCATTTATTTGGGAATAAACATGAGATCAAACTTTTGACAAATGTTCATATCACATACAGAAAACTGTGGAATACCTAGTTATATTACCTTACAATTGTGTTTTACATATTCAAGGACTTCTGGATACTGCTTTAACTGGGTAACTTTTGTTAGAAAATCTGAGATAATTTGCAAGATCACAAAAACTAACAATGGTAATTTTTTTTGATAAAGTAACTATTGTATTAATGTTAGAGTATTAATTTTGTGAAATTTCTGGACATCTTTTTTAAGAGTTACAACTATCCATGCTCTCTTCTGTTTTCTTCCCTAAATTGTTTTTTTTTATTCTGATTGTCAACATTCTGTCATTATTTAGCTTATCCAATAATAATATATTATACCCAAACCCATTCATGTTCACCACACAGCCCTTCTACATTTAACAATGCAGACGCTTGCTCGTTATTTTGGGAGCCTTACTATTATACCTTATGCTCATTATTAAAAACTAAAGAGTGATACATTTTAAGTGGTTATGTTTCTAAACAGATTATACCTTATTACGGTTTTTCTGATCAAAAATAGAACTGTAATTTAGCATGGGAAATATCTGAACAATTACTGATACTCTCCACCTTTTCCCCAACGAACAACTATTTTTTCCTTTTACTTATATTTATTTCATTTTTGGTGACAAATGAAGGACATGAGGCAGAGGAAAATGAAACACTGCGTAGATGTAGGAAACAATGAAGATGAAAGAACAAAGTCAGATATGTTCAGGCAGAGGGAAATAAACAGGAAGTGTGATGTGATGAAACTGTACTTATCTGAACAGAAATAATCACAAGGCTAAAGGAAATATAATTTGTTGCTCTATGATGGTTAGTTACCTATCCTTATTAAACCAATGTTCTTTACTAATAGTGCAACTGACGTGTAGAAATTTAGAATATGAGCAGCTATACATATTTACTTGGAAGTATGTTCTACCAAACAGAGACATGCTTTCCTATGTTTTGTGATTAGAATTTTGTACAGTCTTAGCCTTAGCACATGTTGAAGCAACAGGATTATTAAAGTTACAACATGCTTATGATGAAAGAGCAGGATAGGGGATATGTAGCCAAAGGATTAGTAATACTAATATTGTTTATTAGCCACATTAATCCTTTTGAGAAAACCACAGATTTAAGTCTGCAATGTATTAAATTATCTCCCAGTTAATTTCAATCCATTTCTCAGACCAGTTTTATTGTAAAGAAATCAGAGCCTTTATAGCATTCAACTTAAATGCTTTTATTGACAGGGTTTTGAACAGTAAGCAAACAATGCTTAAGTGTCATTCAAATTCACTTTTCCACATTTCAACCTCAAGGTAGAAAAAATAAATATAAATATTCATAAATAAATTAAAAACACAATAAAACGTTTTCATGGAAAACTTATGTCAAACCATTCAGACCACTTCAACGATGTATGATCAGTTAAAGTTACAATGGACATTAATGAACAAAGAACTATAGAACGTGGACAACATAGCCATTCATTAATCTAGAAAATGAAATTGTCTTTTTCGCAGTTAAGTTAAGACAATTGCTAAGTGATCAAAACACAATATTGCCTGGAACACAGTAGTTATTGTTAATCAGCTGCACTAGATACCCAGCACCATATCAAAATTCCAATCATTAAACCAACAGATTAATTAGCTAACGCTAGTGAATAGTAAGGAGGGAAGGGAGTCACCAACCCAGCCATGTTGAACATGCTATGAAACTGCTAGTTCTCATGGGTGGGGGACAAGACAGATTCCATGCGATTTGCTACATCTCTGGAAGAAGAAGAAGAAGAATCGGGCCTTGTGAGAGGCTGCAAAGCAGTCCTTCAGCAAAGTCATTTCACTCCAGATGGGCTGCCCGTACCTCACGCCAGCATGGAGGCGCTTCGTCTTCCCCAGGCCTTGGGACTCCCAGAGGGGCTCCTTTGCGGCCTAAGGCCCCATGCAGGAACAGCAGCAGCAGCGGCGGCGGCGGCAGCAGCAGCAGGACGGGGTAGGAACGATGATTTCACCCAGCCCCGCGATTATTGCTCGGGGACTCGGTCCCTTCACAAAGCCAGCAAAGTAGGCGAGCTGAGCGAGTCGGAAGAGGGCTCGTTGCTGCTACTACCTTTCCTGTGAGCCGCTGCGCAGCTGGGGAAAGACTCGGTCTCGGGGTAAGTGAAGACGAAGGAGGAGGTGTAGGTGCTGGGGCAGGGCGTGCAGGTCACCACCGGGGTGCAAAGGGGCTCCAGATCCACGGGGGCCGCTGCCCCCAGGGGCTCCCAGTCCGCGGCGTAAAAGGATGAGGAGCCGGACAGATCCATGTCGGGCACAGAGCGCGGCGTCCCGCGGGCGGAGCGAGCGAAGAAGTCGTCGAAAGGCTCGGCCTTCAACTCCAAGCCGCTGCTCTCCTTCGCAGGCTCTGCCCGGGTCGGCTCTTGCAGCAGCGGGAGGGCGAAAGCCGCCTCCTCTTCGGACTCGGGAGAGCTGGCCATGGGCGCGTCGGCTAACAGATCCAGGGAAGAGACCGCCAGCTCTTCCGAGAACTGTAACTCCTCGGGGATCTTGCAGGCAGGGCGGTGAGCGGCCAGCACGAATTCCAGCTTCTCCTTCTCTTTGAGCAGGTTGGCGATTTCTGTCTGGAGCGCGGACTTCTCCTCCTCCAGTTGGTCGGTTTCCTGCGGACACACAGAAGGGGAGGGACAAGTCAGTCAGCTCTTCGGGCGCAAAAGGAGCCGGGGGGCAGGAAGGCAGCAGCAGCAGCAGCAGCATAGGAAGCCCAGCCGGCGAGGTCTAGCCGGAGATACTCACCGCTTGCAGGGTATCGGTCAGCTCCCTTCTCCGGTTGCGGCATTTAGCGGCTGCCATCTTGTTCCTTTCTCTCCGAATCCTCCTTTTCTCCTCCTCTTCTGGCGTCAGCTATGGAGAGAGACAGCGTGCCCGTCAGTATTAGTACCGGAGCCCCGGAAAGTGCTAGTTTTTCCTTTATCTCCGCTTCAAGGCTCAGCTATGAAATGCAAGTCTTACATGCGATCAGTAGAGCCAACAAGCAAAAGTATGCTTAAGGGACGGACCATCTCCTAAACAGATTTTGGACTTCCAAGCAAGTGCCCTTCCTTTCCTAGGGAACAGTCAACTACGGATCAAATAGCCCTCCTTTCTTTCTCGCCAAGGGTAAACCTAGCCCAGGGGTAGGCAACCTTGGCTCTTTTATGACTCGTGGACTTCAACTCCCAGAATTCCTGAGCCAGCTATGCTGGCTCAGGAATTCTGGGAGTTGAAGTCCACGAGTCATAAAAGAGCCAAGGTTGCCTACCCCTGACCTAGCCCATAATCCAGAACTCTCCCTCTCAACTGCTTGTCAGGCAAAAGGTAAAGTACACACCTGTTCAACTTTGCCCCTTCTGCCGATGCTTTGCCCTCTGTTTCCCGTCGTCTTGACTATCCCAGCCCTTGGGTAGACCCCAGTTTGAGGAGCAGCGAGCCCATAGGGATGAGTGCGATTCTGCGAAGGGGCCACCGAAGAGCTCAGAGTGGGTTGGACCATCCATTGCAAGTCAGGACTTGTAGAGATGGCAGTCACCGTAGGGACAAAGTTAGTGCTGGAGGCAGCCAAGTCCGTGCAGAAATCCTAAAAAAACATAAAGAAACTTAATTATTTTATTTAAAAAACGGGAGAGGTGGGGGGCAGGGAGAAAGATACGACGCACACTGCGATTGCAATTCTTGCCCAAGGGAATGGTGGGTTATTTTGAGCTCGGCCTGCAGTCCCTTGAGCCGCATTAATTCGGACGCTGTTAACACCATCGCCGAGCTACACATGAACAGGGGCTTGTTAAAAATATCTCTGACGTCCGAGCTGACGCAAACGTCGCTCCGGAGTCTCCTGAATGAAGTCGCGTTTTATCAATGAAATTGTTTTACGCATCCACAGCTAAGCGCGTCTGCCGGATTCACGTCCCTCCCGATTCCATTAATCCAGAGTACTTAAAGAGGAGCCCAAACCAAAACCCTCCCCCACCCTCCACTGCCATAAGAGACTGACAGTCCCTATGAGAAGAGACAAAAAAAAAAAATAACACTAATTGGCTGCATACAAAATATCAGGAAGCGAAAGGCACGCATCGCGTGCCGGTCAGATCAACTCTTTCGAGTCCCCCGTCCACGAGCATTAAATGTTACTGCCGATTACTCTTGGCCGCTGGACCCGGCAGGAATAGAGGAACAGTCAAGTCCTTCCTACCCCAACCCAACCCACCCCTGCCCCAAGCCACCGTCCCTGTTCCTCACCTGCGCGTTAACAGGCGAACCCATGCTGGAGAAAGAGTCTGCGGGAGAAGGGTAGTAGGTGAGACTGTCTCCCGCCGGAGAAGCACTACTGCAGCGGGAGGAAGACGCATCGTAGTCAGCGGTGAAGCCTGGGAACATCATGTCGGAGAACCTGGGATTATACAAACCCTTCAGGGTGGTATCTCTATCCCAGATTAAAATCCGAATGGAGTGGCTCTTGAGGCGAACAGGCTACTTGTAAACTCCAGTTACTTCCCGTGCCTTAGCTCCTTCGAGCACTGCTTAAGTCTGACCTGGAGTAAAGCGGTACCGCCGCCTTTTATTGTGAATGAACCTACGTCACCAGGGCGGAGCGTAGTAGGGATCACGAATCTATTCTAGGTGATCCAAAATTGTATGATACCATCAGTACGATACCATCAGAATTTCTCTGAACGTAATCCAGAAGCCCTCCCTACTGGATTGCGATGCTTTTATAAAAAGATTCGCGAGAGGTCTCGACTTTTAAAAGTCTAGGAAGCCGACTACAAAGTCTTCGGCGCAACCTAGCTTGGGAACCCAACTGACGTAAATATCCTTATATGGCATATCACATCCTGTGCAGGGGTGTGACTGACGGGAATCGCTCGAGGGCTGAGGCCAAATGGGATGGTGCGTGTTTGTGGTAACGGCAGGGGGAGTAAAAGTAATAGCCGCAGCAAACGGATTATGCATGCAGAATTGTGTCCATTTAGTGCTGACCAGACACTGACATGACACGACGCTTTAAAGAGACAAAACTTTAATTGTCTATTTAGCTCATGACCTCCACGAGAAGAAACACTGAAGCCTTTGCTTAGATAAAGCTGAGACCGAATTCTTCCTCTCGAAAGATTTCTAAATCGCTGAACTTTATGTACAGTATTTATTTTCTCAAAATTTGCATGGTTTTTGAAATACATATCTATCCGAAAGATCCTCCCTCTCCCTGGTAGAGAAGAGGAATGTAGTATACCACTAAGATTAAGATTAGGATAAGAATTAAGTAAAAATGTTGGATAATTTTTCACTCAATATTTTTTTAAAAAAATATAAGACTTTTTATGTTTAGGAATTCCGTATTCAGTCAATATTGAAAAATGGCTTTATGTCTGGGGCTAAACTTGCAAGGGTTTAATAAAATATATAATTGAGGGATCTTGGGTTGGTCACACTTTCTCAGTCCAACTTAACCCACAGATTGTCATGGAGAATCTTGTGCTGACCACATACAAGTACAAATATTAATACTAGTGAGACAGCAATATTTTCAAATCCATAGTTATTAGGTACATTTAAAGATATGTTTACAATCAACACTTTCTAGGATCAACAACTAACAATCATTATACTATTAAACCAAAATTCAGTAAGAATATGTACCTTGGACAACTTACATTAGTTCATTTGTTACAGGGATTAAATTATTTATTTATTTATTTAAATTACAGCTCTTTTATTTTTAATATCAACATAATAACATTTTTTAAAAAGATACTGCAATCTTATATATGCTTAAAGTCAAACAATTCTTGCCTACTTCTTAATAAGGAACATGATTCAAAACTATTTTGTATATGAAATATTCTTAAGGATAAAGTTTCACTTGATATTATAGAAAATAGTTTGCCTATTTACATGCCGATACGTTTTTTAATCACTCTTTTGCATTGTTTACTTTTAAAAAACATGTTTTCATCCACATGCTATATAGAAACTATAATAGAAGAGCAGCATGTAGCTCCATGATGAGATCATTGTAAGATGTCTAGTGAGCGAAAGGTTATCAAAGAGAAGATACACAGCCTTTACAGCCAATTGTAGATATTTGTCCACAGTCATGTCATGTTCACCTCTTTCATAATAATAAGAGGACTAGTTCTTATGAAAGTCTGTTCCATTTCATATCACAGAGGTTGTCTGGGTTCATGCAAAGGAACCTCACTGCCTCCACTCTATGCAGTTACAAAACTTCATTCTCTTCAGCAGTGTCAGCATTTTACTGTGTAGTAATAATAATGCATTAAAATGCAGGAAAAGAAACTAACACTAGCATGTGAATAGTTTATTCAGAAAAGTATTAAAGTAATGTATAACTCACTGTTTTTGAAACAGTTTCAAAATTGTCTGTGAATTCACCTTTACACTTTGCATATAAAATACAGTTCGCCTCAGGTAGTACTTCACAGTGATTCACTTAGATGGAGACAAGTCTAGCCAACTTGTTGCCTTCTGTAAACCCCAACATACCCAGAGGGGTATCAGTTGGGGAAATGAGTCTTTCAGAAACAACTGGCTTGCTGCCCCCATTTCAGAGCTAAAAGTATATAGTAAATATATATTGTTTCATCCTCATGTTTCATTTTATTGTAGAGTAAAAATAATACAAGATCAAGACCAAAATATTTGAATGGGTGAGCTCCAACTCTCTGCCTGTTTTCTCAATTAGCCACAAAAAAGGAGTAAAAATGAGATAATGCTGTAGATTTTACTTTGCAGGTAGTGGAATTCACTCACTAGGAATTCCTGATTGCAAGCAGATTTGAAAATGTCAACAAATTAATCAGCAAATGGTTTAGAAGTTGTGTTTCTGTTGGTGTAGTCAGGTTTCAAGTTACAAACCACATTTTTTCACACAGGGTTAGAAAGTAATTCTGCTATATGATCTGTTTCTATAGCGAGAGCTAATGTTTATCACTTTATTGTGCTGCTATACATTAATAGGGTTCAAACATTTATATAATATTGATCGTTCGGGTTATTACCATGGGAACCTTTTTTATTGTGATTACGAATAATTTCCGTTCCTGAATCGAATTGTTTCTGGGTGAAGTTCTGGATTAGAAGCAATACCAAACACGGATGGTATGTATGGAAAATACAGCCTAATGTTCCTTAAAGTTGACGGGAAAGGGCGGAGGGGCGGGGGGGATGGACAACTATCCTGTACGTTTAAGATCAATATAATCACGAGACATTAAATCATACACAGCTGCTTTCTCGAAGAGCTGACTTGATCAACTTCCTTCAATTCTTCAAAATGCCAGCCAACTTGGGCGATTTATTGTTAACAGAAGATCCCAGAAATTATGCATCGTCGGGGAAGAGAACCCCGGCTGAGATGTGTTCAATTCTGCCCCCAGCGGACGCGAGGATATTTGGGAAGTAGCCATGGAGCTGCGGTAACAAGCGGCGGAGATTTCTCCTTTCCCGAAGCTGCAGTTTGTTATGATCCTACTGTTTGTTGCAGGGGAAGCCCAGAACCACCCACCGTCGTGCAGAGCTGACAGACAGCCGGGACAGGAGCCAGTTCGCTCTCGCCCGTCGCGGGAGCCAATAAGGAGGAGACCTCTGGTGCTGTCGCGTGTTTACAGCAAACAGAGAGCCCCTCTCCCGAGCAGTTTCTAGGCAGGGGTGGAGCTTCGCTCCGCCGCAGCCGCCTGCGATTCCTGCTGCCTGAGCTCATAGGCCAAATGCAGAAGCTGATGTTACCATGTGGCCGCCGCTGAACGAAGCATTTGGGCCATCGAAGCGAAGGGAATTGGGCCAAGGCTATTTCCAGGATTCCTCGTCACAGCCTGTGACAGAAGCCTTGGAGTGGAGCGATTCTCCTCTTGGGCGGGGCTTGAAGACCTGGGCCCGCGATCCAGTTTCTCACTTCCCAGATTACTTAAATTAGCTCAGACTCTGAGGTGGCTGTGTGTGGTCAACTTAAAACTCAGAACCAAAGAAATGGAATAACTCCTGCTTTATGCAGAGTTATTTAACGTTTGCTTATCCGCAGACTAAACACATATTATCAGCTGGCACCCGAGCCTTCTTTTCACGCGAAGAAAACGCGTTTATTAGAATCTTCCGAGAGCTCCAGGCGGCTAATAAACCGTTTTAGTTTTACAAATACCTCTTAGATAACATACTGGCTACCAGCTTCAGGCAGCAAATTTCCAGGGTCATAAAAGGACAACAACATATAATTTAACATTATTAAGGAAAAACAATACTTGTGGATGTTCTTCCCTTTGGCTGTCTTTCATTAGTGCAGTGACCTGGCATGCCTTTTCTCTGTTGTTTATATTCTATAAATTCCCATTACATGTTATTTCCCTTGAGAGACCTGCCTTTATAATTCTTGATAGGGATACATTGTAGAGAAGCACAACTTACCTGAAATTGATATTTAGAACTCTCTCCTATGATTTTTTTTAAAAAATATCCCACATTAAGAAGTGACCAATACCCAATAGAATATTATGCATTTTAAGACTAAATACTTATGCTGAAAGCAAGCTTTATAATAGGCTAATCCTGTTTAATAATAGACATGATTGAATTATTTGATCTCAAAACTCAGAGCTGATGCTTGGATACGATGGAATTGTTTTGGTTTGATCAATAAAATCAGTATTTGATTAAAATATTGTAATCTCATACTCTAGTAGTGTGCAAAGAATTGGAAATGTACACAATAATCCATATAAAAGCTTTTTATTACAGATAGCAATTTATTTAAAATTAAGATGCCTATTAAAAGTTGGCTGGTGATTTCAAACAATACACTGAAATATTATTCTGCCTTGATACCCATTTTACTTTAAAGCAATGGATACAGATAGAGCAGCAACAGCCATTAACTTTTCAGTGTTTAAGAAGCTGCTTTCCTAGTTGGACCGAGAAAGAAATATTTCTATTCAGAATGATATGTCCAAATTTATATTATATCTCATGGATGAATGACATTTTCAGGCTTTTGGAAATGTATTCCTAGCTAGAAGCTTTCTGGATACATGGCAACTTCATTCTAGATGCATATATTGTGGAGTTGTGTTTTCCTCATAACACTGGTGCACACATTTATATACATTTGTGTACAACAAGGAAAAAAGGAAATATCTCAGTAATACATTGTCAAATGAAAAAGTGTACTGTAACTGAGAGCTGCACCCATATTTACCTCTTGAAGCATTGCAAACACTCAAATCTATAGTCTTGTAGTATAGATTAGCAAGTGTTTCCTAGTAAGAAATAGTACAAGCTGTACTGTGTTTGCTGAATACAATGCCCTGGTACTGAGAGCAAACAAAGGTGCTAGATAATAAATGTGACAAAGAAGATATAAGTTGTGGAGTTGTAGTAACATGCAGGCGTTGGACTTAGTTAATGGTATTTCTTGGCCCAGAATGAAAGTAACTACCGGTATGCACTGATGGTTTTAACATGCACATTGCTTTTTGTTTCCCATATTGGAGAGTGGACATACAAGATATGCAACCC